TGACGGACATGTGCCATCAGTCAGTTACTGTCATTTCCCGTCTTCAGGCCTATCAATGACACGCTGAGCAGTTATACCAAATGGTTCACCACCAGATGATAATGAACATTTTCAAACTTCTAAAAAGTATCTTATAAAGGAAAAGAAGGCATTACAATGCTTATCTTCTTCTGGGCTTCATTCAATCGAACTTGTCAACCAGAGCCAGTGTAAGAAAATTGTTTCTGGAAAAACTGAACTTTAATCAAATCTACTCCCTGTCTCTGGTAACTCCTTTTCTCTCCCTTAACTGGCTGCTTCCATTGGTATTCATGCCTTTTGGAATTAAAAGTTTCTAGTAGCAAGGAGGAGTTTAAATTCTCCTCAGCACACTTTTAAACAAGATGCTAAGACATTTTCAATTTTACTATGTTTGTTTCATGACTCCATGTTTGTACGATCCCATTTATACGAAATATCTAGAGGCAAGAGTCAAGAGACCAAAGTTTATTAGTGGTTACCAGGGACAGGTGGGCAGGGCTGGGGAAGCAAGACTCATTGTTAAGGACACAGAAGGAAAAAAAAAAAAAAAAAACTGACCAGGACACAGGCCAAAATATGTCTTTGTTAAATGAGGAGATGGGAAGAATGATCCAAGTGGGCGATTAGCTCGGTCAGGACTTACTCCAGGTATGGAGGAGATCATCTGCTTGCTCAGGATGGTTGACTCGGCTAGTCTGGTCCCAGCGTCTGCACAGGTAAACTAAGAAGGAATGGAAAGGATACTCATGTTTAAGAGCCCTTGACAGTGACAATGTATAATTGTATTAACTTGGCTTAATTTCATTCATGTTTACTTTCTGACACTCTGCCCTAGAAAGATTAGACTTGCTAATCATGCCGGTTCATTTCTATTAGAAATTCAGACCCGCAGCACCAAGATGAGCACATGAAGTCTCGCTGTACCCAGACAGCTGAGTGGCATTGAGACAGTCCATTCATCCAAGGAAGAAATACAAGATGTCAGCACTGTCAGATTTATTTTGAAGTCAATCTATTTAACTTTCTTGGCAGTACCATCTTTTTATGATTTCTATCATACCATACATTCAGAATAACAATGGCAAAGCAACCACCCTCAAAGTGGAGTAAATACCCTGTTTCTTCCCCACGTGTCTGGTCTCAGCCTTCCTGGCCCCCTTCATCCACTGCTGTGCCCTGTTCCAGCCTATGGATCCATTTAGGCTTCACCAATAGGCAGGGCTGTTAGGGTCCTTCAAGCCTTTTGACTGGTTGCTTGCTGGGCTCAAAAGCCACTTCCTCTGTGCTAGTAATGACCTTGACTCTGCCTGGGCCCTCACGGAACCCTGCCTACTCTTCCATTACAGCAGCCATGTTAGGAGGTTGGGATGGCCTCTAGTCCATTTCCCAACCCAATGCGAGCTCTCAGGGAGCACAGAATTGCTGTACCTTACTCCCAGCAGCAGCTTGGTGCCCAGCTTCTCAGGGTTCACAGCAAGTGTTTATGAAATGAATTGATTGACCAACTGGGACTTGAGATAGTAATGGCGATGAATCTGCCAGGTTATATTTTATTTGTTTTACTATATAGGTTTTTACAGGTATTTCCACTTAATGCAATATCCAATCATAACACTGGTAGGTTAGACAACATGCAAAGTAAGCATGGACTTACTTGTGCTTACTCACTAATCTATAGTGAATAATTTCACACCTCTGATGTAGTTAAAAAAATGAACATGAACTAGTTCACTACAGATTAAGTAAGCATAAGTAACCCCATACTTGCCTTGCTTATTGGGCAATCCAACACTGCATCCAACTATTTATTAATGGTTTTAGAAGAATTAAGCACAGTCTGGAGAGCTTGAGTGAGTAATCAGGTCCTGTTTCATTTCTTTCCTGGTCCCCGGCCAGTGGCAATAGTGACTTTGGGATCCAGAGCTGCTCCTATAGGGGTTCAGAGGCTCTGAAATTGGCGCCCCCCCTCCTTTGATTTTATGTCTCTCTCATGCTGGCAGAGCATGGGAAGCTAGGCAGGTCAAGAGTGAGAATTCACCTGGGCAGGCTCAGCCCCCGCAAACTGTGGAGAAGTAACATGGGGGGAGGTAGTAAGAAAATCCCAAGGAGGCCAGATGAGGAGCTATGGGACAAAGGAACAGACATAGCCTGTTGGCAGGCTAATCAAGGGTCATTCTTAACAGGTAGCAGCAGGTCTCAGTTGACACGCATGGTGGAGCTCTTAACCACAAGCCTTCTGAGGGGAAGGAGCCTTTAGACTTCTTGTTTGGAACCAAGCGATGGTCTTCTGGTGTGGCCCTCTGTGGAAGGCATTTGGGGTGCTGGTGACAGAGCTAGGGGTGAGAGGGTGGCCAGCCAGGCTAGTGGTGCCTGGGAGCCACCTCCCAGGAGTGGACACGAATCTCCATTCTCACACTTCTGTTTCCAGGTGCCTCTGATGCAATTGCAGAAAGCTGAAGAAGCTATTTGGCTATGAACTCTGAATCTGGCGAAGGAGGTACCAGCTGGTAACATCCAGAAGATCACCCCAACTTTCTTCAGTTTTATTCAGGCATGCCTATGTCTGCTCACCCACCTGGACTTATTTCTAACAGATGGAAGAGTAAGTAAATAGGGTTTAAAAAAAAAAAAAGTAAAGCCTCCATTTTAGCCAAAACCAATAAATAACAAAAGTCAAAGCTGTGATACTTGCTAGAATGACACAGTGAAAAGGAGGATACTCCCCACCTCCAACCACGTTTTCTCCTAAGTTTATTTTCAAAAGCTATCAGAGTCTGCAATCAAAGTTCCAAAGTCTCTGTGAGCACACCACCATTTCAATTCGTTTCTTTACCACAGAAATAAGAGACTCCCCAGCTGAGAGAGGCCACAGGGGATGACAGAGGGCACCGAAGGTGGAAGGGAAGGCGAGCAAGCAGGCGCCTGGCACAAACAAGCACGTGCTCAGCATGGCTGGCAGCGGGGGGACAAGCTAAGAGGTCACACTCGCATCTCTGATTTGTGGTAACTCTCACAAGTCAGGATTAATCAAAAATCATACTGACAGGCATGGAGAAGCCTCAGAAAGGCTGGTGTATTCGAAGGAACAAAAGTACCTAACCATCTAGAACCATCTATTATTTGTTTTTTATCATTGCACTTTTAATCCAGCGTATTTCTCCATAATCTGCACAACTCATGCCTTAATAAACCTCTGTTTACTTTATATAGCTGCTGACTAGGTATTGAAAAAAAATGAACTCAATACAATTTTATAGAATTGCTCAACAAATAAAGCTCTAACTAAAACCAGAGGAGGAGATGATGCAGTAGAAGGAAGAATTCTACACATTTGGTGAGAAATAGTAAAAATACCCCTGGAAGATGCACTATTGCCTGGTGAATACAAAAAGCACAAGAGAAACACGGTATCCATTGTGTGTCATTACTAAACGACTTCATTACCTAAATGAAACCCAAAATAGTATCTCCACCTCTCATCCCTAGAGTGATCAGATTGTTACCAACTCAACTAATATTAATAACCACATGTCAATAGTAACTGGGAGTTAAAGGCAACAGCCCTAGCTGTGCCATCCTTTGTCCTCAGCCCACAGCTCACCTATCTTTAAAAGAAAACCTTTCACCCACCTGAGTATCAAGTTTGAATATGCAGGCATGCCCTGCGAGGAAGTGGGAGTGCTATATGTAAATTAGCAGAATGCCTACCCTTGACACACAATAGGAGCTTAAGAAGTTCTTTTTGATTGGAGCCTAAATATTCTTTAGGGTCGCCTTTCATGAGTTATCACTCTATTATGAAGACTGGTTTAATCCATCTCAAGAACAATTATAATACCCTATTACACATAAAATATCTACAGCAGACCAGCTGAGAAGAAAAATGTGCAAAGACCTGAATTAAAACACTAGGACAGTGCACCCACCCACAATGCAGAACTAACTATGGCTTACAATTGACAATTTCTATTTCAAAGAATTATTATTTTTTTTCCTACCTGGCAAATTCATTTCCGACCCCATGCCTCTTTTTCTTAAAACAAACAAACAAACAAACAAACAAACAAAATCCACTTGAACCTTTGAGATCAGCTGACTACACATAAGAAAAACAAATCATGAGAATCACGGCCGGAGAACCACAATATGGTGGGCTCAGAAATTTCCCATGATGCCACCAGGCCTCCAGAAAAAGTTCCGAGGAATTAAACAATAGATTATTGACTAGTGCCTACTACTCCCTTGAAACACTTAGAACTTGGGTGGCCCCACTTTCCTTGAGAAAGTGTGCTACTGTCTTTTAAGAGGGTCTTTCTTACTGCCAGAGTAAAACAGACTAGGAAGAAGGAAGAGGCCATCCACTTCTCAAAGAATTGGCCAGTGAAAACCTTATGAATAGCAGTAAAACATTGTCTAATATATTACTGGAAAACTTTATGAATAGACCAGAAACATTGTGTGATATAATGCTGAAAGATGAGCCTATCAGGATGGTAGTTACCAATATATGACTGGGGAAGAGCTGACTCCTCAAAGTAGAGATGAGCTTAATGATATGGATGGAGTAAATCTTTCAGGGCCTCCACTGGCTGATGTAGCACAACTCAAAATGAGTAGAAACAGATGCAAACATCCATTAATAATTGGAACATGGAATGCATGAAGTATGAATCTAGGAAAATTGGAAGTTGTCAAAAATGAAATGAATGCATAAAGATTGATATCCTAGGCATTAGTGAGCTGAAATGGCCATTTTGAATATGATCCACTATGCTGGGAATGACAACTTGAAGAGGAATGGTGTGGCATTCATCATCACAAAGACTGTTTCAAGATCTGTCCTAAAGTACAATGCTGTCAGTGACAGGATAATATCCATATGCCTACAAGGAAGACCAGTTAATACTATTATTATTCAAATTTATGCAGCAACCACTAAAGCCAAAGATGAGGAAATTGAAGATTTCTACAAACTTTTGCAGTCTGAAATTGATCAAACATGCAATCAAGACATGTTGATTATCACCAGTGACTACAATGTAAAAGTTGGAAACAAAGAAGAGTCACCAGTAGTTGGAAAATTTGGCCTTGGTGACAGAAATAATGCTGGAGATTGCATGATAGAATTTTGCAAGACCAACAACTTATTCATTGCAAGTACCTTTTTTCAACAACATAAACAATTGCTATACATGTGGACTTCACCTGGTGGAATACACAGGAATCAGATTGACTACATCTATGACAAAAGGTGATGGAGAAGCTCAGTATCTTCAGCCAAAACCAGGCCAGGAGCTGATTGTGGAACAGACTATCAACTGCTCATATGCAAGTTCAAGTTAAAGTTGAAGACAATTAAAACAAGTCCATGAGAGCCAAAATATGACCTTGAATATATTCCTCCTGACTTTAGAGACCATCTAAACAATAGATTTGATGCAATGAATACCAATGACTGAAAACCAGAGGAATTATGGGATGACATCAAGAACATCATCCATGAAGAAAACAAGAGGTAATTAAAAAGACAAGAAAAGACCAAAACGGATGTCAGAAGATGTGGAGAGCCAGGAATCTGGTCTTGTGAAGATGCTTATCTCAGAGACAGCGATCTTTAATAAAACAAAAGGCTCTTACTTATGTCCTTTCTATTTCTCCATACTAACCATACCTTGACCTTTTAAATAGTGTTTGTATAAACTTTCCAGTACTCCTTAGAAA